GCTGAAAGAGTTATTGCCATGTTATTCAGCTTGCCGTGCCAAGCCCGCATGGGGATCGAGTTTCTACTGAAAGGGTGCCAGGCACGTCTGTTTCCAGGAACCAGCAGCCGTATTTAGCCTCAGGCTGCACATGAAAGACTGCAGTCGGAAACGTGACATTGTGTCAACATTTGAGGCAGGTCAGAGCTGGGTGAGACCATGAAAACAAGCCAGGGGAGGGGAACTTAACACACACCCTGTCTGAACAGTCCAAGTGCGGAGGCAGCGTGCAAAGCAGCCTCGTCACAAGCTGATAACTCCAGCTGCACAGAGGCCCTTTGATGCGCTCCCTCCCCCCCGCCCCCACGCCTCATTTGCCATTTGTTTTTCTGCCAGGACAGAGTATGCTCACATGCCTAGGAGCATTTTGGGTGAACACCACTTCAAAGCGAAGGAAGGAGGACCTACAGGAATGGGAAGGCAACGCAGCACACACATTTTCATTTGCATAGCAAGTTATATAACAGCACAGGACTTTCCAATGGGAGGAAATCAGAACACCTTGCAAAAAACACTCCGAACCTCATCTTTCTGTGGTAGAGAAAGGCTTCTGCTCCCTTGGTATGGGCCAAGGAGTATCATGGGGGCTGCTCCTCTTGAATTCTGAGCGAAGCCTTTACCATTTCTCAGCTGCACTCATTATGCAATTAGCATGTGATGTGTCAGAGGATTTTCAAATTAGGCAAACATTGGTTGGTTAGCCTCTAACCCTATCAACCTCCCTTTTGTTCATACCACAGTTAGTTGCAATGGATTTGTCTGTTTTTTATTTATGCTCAAGGTATGCTTATCATTCTGTACTGGATTTCTCTCTGACAATGAATTATCTTGGATTGTTCTCCTAACCATCAAGGCGTACTAAAATCACCATCCAGCCCATTTTCATTGGGCTCTGGAATGCTGGAAACCAGGAGCCCATTGAGCTTGCCTTTGTCTCCAGGTTGCTGGAGCCCAGAAGTGCTCAAGCTGTGGTAAAGCAGTAGTAGCTCTGGGCTTGGGTCAAGTGGGTGGGTCACTACGTGGGTAGCCCTGCTCAAGTTTACCGAATGAGGAAGGAAGCAGTGACCCAGAGCTCTGTGGGAGCAGATGACTGGCTGCGTGAGAGCCAGGACTGCAGGCCTTCCTGCTTCGGTGCAGGTGTGCCCGAAGCTCCTGCACTGCTTCTGGGTCCCGCCCATGTATCAAGAAGGGCAATTAATTAAGTGGGCAATCACATGCCAGTGCATGTGGAAGCAAGTCCACTTTCTTCAAGGAGAGTTACTCCCAGGTAAGTGAGCATCATGTTGCAATTTTTTTTTTTAATTTCTTTGACGGAACAACCCTAAACATGAGCACCTGAAGGCAGGTACCACAGAATGTGGTGATATTTATGCTCAGGGAAGCGTGCATAAGATTTCAGTCTTAGCAAAAATACAACTGCCGAGAGGATGATAACAACAAGGCTATGGTCCCAGTTCTGTGGTTAGTTGCATGAACTTGTTACAGCATTAAGCGAAACCAGCTCTGGACGCAGCTAAAACTATTGAGAAGCAAGACCTAAACGGCAATCCTGTGCTTACCCAGAAGTAAGCTCTACTGAGCTCCCTGTGGGCGTGTGCCCAAATAAGTGGAGATATTTGCAATATTGCACATGTATTGAAAGAGAAGCATTTTGAGAAGTTGGTTCAGATTGTTTTTACTAACTGGAAAGCTTGACAGTATGCAGCCCTTAAAAATAAAATGTTGCATCTAACCCAAGGAACTAGTTTAGGCACACCCAACAGGGCACACATGGTCTGTATGACTTTTCCTTCTTATAAAGTCGCTACACACATACCACTCCATGATGCATCTCAAAGTATTTCCGCTGGAGTTTCAAAAGCAACTTACTGTGTAATAGGGACTTGGGGGTTTTCTTCAAGAAATATACAGAAAGTATCACAGCATTTTCTGGGTTATGGCCAATTCAGCAAGAACAATGCTGTAATTTGGGAACTTTTTGAACATTGTTATTATATTGTAAACCATTATTTTTAAAGAAATGGTGCCAATTCAAGGGAAAATGAAACCACACAGGATCCTCAAGGCAAGGTGGTGCAGTCACCCAAAATCCCTTAATTCAAAGAGGTGTGCACCAGCTCCACCCAGATGGCATGTTGGAGCACACTCCAAAGTCTAAAGGACAATAACGGTGACCCCATGGCAGCTCTGTCATGCATATCAAGCCAGGTCCAACTCAGTTTAAATCCAAACGTGATTTCTTGTTCACTTCAAGAACCTTTAGATTTAAATTACAAGGAAGCAGTAAATGCCACGGTTCAGATGCTGAAGTTTGCACAGTCATTTTCTCCCTCTCAGTAAAAGCAAAGAGAAGTTGCCATGTTTCGCTTTTATTGAGAAGCGAGGACTGAGAGAAGTCCTTATTTAGATGTCCAAGTGACAGAAAGAAGAGAGGAAGCAGCACTGGCAATGGAATACAGAGGTAGGGCTTTGGAAAAGAGATGGAACTCGTAGACGATGTTTTAAGAATTCTACTTCGCACTTACATAACCTCATTCCAAGTGTTTGCATACACCGAGCCCTGTAACTGGTAGACCAGTATTGTTTTTCCCAGATAGTGGATGGGGAGACTGAAGCAGCGGTGCACTGATGGGAGATTTAAATCTGGAAGTACACAGCTCTGATTTGGGATAATAGGCTGCAACAGCCTTTTGCAGAGCCTGCATCTCTCTCCTGACACTTGCTCAAATAGTCCTGAAGTTCCAGATGAAAACCTTGGAAAGGCCTTCGCCAATAGATGCTCGGCTGAGGGCATCATCTCCTGCAGGACTGGCCCAGGATGCTTTGCCACCTGAGGCAAAGGACAAGATGCCCCTCTCCCGTTCCAGACACAACAGAGAAGTGAACCAGCAGCTGATGATGGGAGTGGGCCCTTCACTTTTCCTGAAGGCCAGGAGGGCCCAGTTGAGGGCATGAAGAACACAGCTCTTTCCTCCAGGAGAGGGGAATGGCTGGGGAGCTCCGGAGGAACAGCCAGAGGCTGTTGCCACTGTCTTTCTCCCACCTGGGACAATTGCCTAACTCTTGGTCTAATCAAGGAAAGCACTCACTAGAGATACCACTGGACCTCAACAGTACACATTTACCCACTTGCACCTGCTGTGGAAGCTCTCCTTGCCCAGCAAGGCCCCCCTTGCCGCACTGAGCCATGTTTCTACAGCTTCTGGGTTTGATTGCTGTGCCGCAGCAGAAGAATGGATACCTGTGGAGGGGGCTTGAAAGCACCATTGGTGATGGGTGCAGCTGTACGTCCTTTTTGTGCGAGCGCCTCCCTCAGTGCTTATGAATCCTGCTTTGTCTCGACCGTTCTGCCCCGCCGCTGCGTCTCGGTTCCACTCGAGGTGCTGGTTTTAACACGTGAAGCGCTGCGGTGCCTCGGTGCCACACACCTGCCCAGTGTAGCTGTCTGCACGTGCTCATATCAACCAGGTGCCCGAAGAGGGGATGGGACTCCGGCACCTTGAAAAGTTGTATACAGTATGGAATTTTGGCAGCTCTGGCTTGCAGAACAAACTGCAACTGCTCTACTGTTCAAAGCACAGGAGCCCCAAGTGCTTCGTGTGTCTAAGTCAGCAGGTCCTCCTGACAGTTCCACCTGGGAGCAGAGAGAGACGGCGGTAGTGAGGTGCCGGGGTTTTACCGCCAGTGCCCCGGGCTCTGGAACTCCCACCCTAAGGAAGTACGACATCTTCCTTTCTGTTGGGTTTCGGGGCGTTGTATTAAATTGTACTTTAAAAAAAAATGTTACTTTTGGTTTGTTTCACTGAGGCTGGTGTTCTTTTTCTTACCCACTTGGAGCCTTTAGGCCTCAAAAATGCCTGTCAAGTACCTTAAATAAGTAGTAAATGTAAGTTTTAAAATGCCAAGTTAGTGCTTGGAATTCAGGGAGGGATCAGCTCCTTCCTCTGTAACACCGAAGGACTCAGAAGTCAGCCAACAGCCCGTCTAGGCAGATCTGCTTCAGCAACTACTGTGCAAGCAGGAGCTTGCTCGGGTGCAGCTACAGGGCACCAGCTCTTTGGCAGGAGGGGAAGGACACTTCCTTCTGCTCCGCTTGTAGTGCCTTCAGTGTACCTTCACATTTGAGGACAAGCTGTTGGCCAGACGTGACCCATGGGATGTGTTCAAGGGGCCCCTAGAAACATAGAAGCAGAGTGAGTCAGAAGGGTCCTCCTGGGCCATCTAGTCTGACCCCCCGGCTCCACTCATGACATGGCTACTATGTGCATGTCCAGCCTGTCCTTGAACACCCTTACCGATGGGGCTTCAGCCACCTTCTGTGGAAGCCCATTCCATACCCTCGGGGTCCTAACCATCAGGAAGTACTTCCTGGCATCCACTCTAAATCTTGGTTCCCTGAGCTTTGCTCCATCGAAAAATCCTACCTTAAGTCTAAAGCTGTTCTTACAATGTCAGGCTTGTAGCAGCCATGTTACGGCAGAGCTTTTGCTCTTTTTATCCTGATGCAAGATTCACCTCCATTCCATTGTATTCTCATTATAACCTTACGAGGTCGATTAGGCTGAGAATCTGTGACTGGCCCCAAGTCACCCAATGAGCTTCATGGTTGTGCGGGGACTAGAACCTGAATCTCCTGAGACCCAGGCCAGCACACGTAACCCTTCCTGCCCTATATAACCCACATCCTTGGGGGCAGTGATGGTGGCAATCGCCCCAAACCCAGCACAAAGAGCTGATGAGCGATACTTGGGTGCTACCATTAGGGCCTTCAGGTCCCCCCTCATCAGCTGCTGTCACAACTGATCTCTTACCCCATGGAGCTCAATGATGCTGAGCAGGCTTCCACCCAAGAATTCCACCAGAACTTGCAATCTGCGTAGGTCTCTTCTCTGCTTTTGTATCTGTCAGCCCCAGATGTTATCATTCCAACCAACACGTCTCACAAACACTCAGAGAAGTAGTACCGTGCTCCACAGGAAAATAATTTTATTAAATTTTTTAAACAACTACTTAACATTTACTCTGATAAAAATATTTACAATATCCCCACCTTCAAGAAGGTTCCAAAAATATAAACACTCTACCTCTCCCTAGAGGGAGAACAAAACATTCTCCTCATTAAAAAGAAAAAGAGGAATACATTCAAATTTCCCACTTTCTGTGTACTCAAGTAGTTTTACAAATAATAGACTTCTGAAACATTTTATTTTACATATCCATACAATATATATTTATATGTACACATTCATATTTATAACAGATTTTACAAATAAAGGCAACAACTGTGTACAAAAAAGTATTTAAAACCAACAATAAATTTAATGTTCAAACACAATCTGCAATGGAGCATAGTGCATTCAGCAATTGGTGCAACCATGGAAAGAGACATCATAGGACAACTGATCAAGGAGTTCTTCAGAAGGAACTAAGGGACACCTTTCATGCGTGCTTTTTGTAGTTTTAAATAGCCATTCACCAGTGCAGAATGTGTTCAGTCTAGGGCAGACTTTTAGGCTATCTGGATGATGGCTTCTCATGCTTCCTAATTTGGTACTCTAGCACACCAGTGAGTTCAGGAAGCGTCCGAGGAAAAGGCAGTCACCTCTCCACCGACACAGCCCAGCAATGAGTATGGCAATCCAGTTGGGCAAACCACATGGCAGGAGCCTTGCAACCAACAGTCGTTGGACCTACCTGCAGGTTTACGAAGCATCAAACATATCTTGGTGTCCGCAATGAGGGTCATGGTCAACTCTGTTATTGCCTCATGGGGAAGAGACCTGCCAACACTGTGAGGGCATTGCTCAAACATTTCCCACGATCCTGAATGCACCTTCCAGGACCAGCCTTAGCAGGAGGTACCATAAAGATGTTTCATCAGGCAGATGCCAGAGGGGAATTTCTCCAGTCTCTAATGTCATTATTCGGCTTGTTTAAAAAGGGGAGAATGTTCTAGTCCAAACCTGAAATATTAATTAGATTGAGATTGCCCTTGTGACCCCCCTCCAATCCATAGCCACTGCCTCCTTCTTTGGAGCAGAAGTGCAACATACTGCACACCCAGCCTCTTTTGCCTGAATACCAGGAATGAAGCAGAGGGGTGGATTAGGGGTTGCCCCGAATTGCCGAACATTCATGGGCTGCAGGCAAGTGCTTGGCTTGCCAGCTGCTGCTGCTGGTTCAGTAAAAGCTATCTAAGTAAGGCCTTCAGTCTTGGTAACCGTAACATGTATTTTGAGTCAGCATTTTACATTGGCATTTGGCAGAAGAAAGCCACACACCCAACTGTGGACATGGAACTCCCTTGCATAGCAGACAACAGGTTTGGTTATCTTCAAAGAACGTAACAGGGGACAGAGTCAGCATGGATATTGCAGAATGCAACTTTGCTTGCAATAGAACAGGCCCCAGAAGAAAAGAGCTGGTGGCAAACCATTCCCATGACAAGGTGCCAATCCGATACCATTTTCTGCCAGACAGAACTGGGCTAGGCCCTAAACCGCTGACTGCGCCATTCTGCTTTCCTATGGACTGTTGCAGATTCCTGTTGTCTAGCAGTTTTGAGAAGCAATATCTAGTGTGAGAACCAGAGATTTATGGGTCATTCCTGCAGAATTGCCCTTTCCACAACCTTCCTTGCTTAGCAGCTCAAGCTACACAAAATTTCTGGGCAGTGCTTGAAAGAAAGTATATGTGCATTCAGCAGAAGTGTGACCAAAAAGCCATCTCAAAACCTCCCTGAATCACTGTGCTCTACCAGCCAGTGACTGCTACTAGCAGAATGAATAACAATGCTTCAATAACTCTCTCCCTCTCTGTACGTGTCTCAAATGCTGGCAGCAACAACATGGGGAAGCCATACCAATCCGCTCCAGCCCTTGCCTCCCTAGGCCATTACTTTGAAAAGTCCTCACCAGAAGTACCATGATTCTATATTCAGACCCTGACTCCACCTAACGTTTTAGTGCTCCTTCACAGCTTCAGAATATTATCCTAGCTGACTAAACCAGGTGGTGCTCCATAGATACCAAAAAGTAAAAAGCACGTCAAATCATTAAAAAAAAATTAGAAACAGCCACAACAACCCTCTTCTCTCTTTCACTACCTTAGGTGCATCTGTATGGTCTTTCCTAAATTTCCTGGACAGTCAAAACAAGGAAGGACGTCACTGCCCTACACATAAATGATTGATGATCTTCCCCAGTTCTACCTCTCTGCCTTAGTTCAGCCATTTTAGGGAGGAAAAAGCCCCTGAAATAATCTGAAACGCAACCAAAAAGAAAAAGAATCTCAAGAGGAAGCCATTCCATTTTTAGTCTTTGGTTTCCAAATTCAAAGGAGACATTTGCTTCAAAGCTTGAAACAGAGCGGTCGAGTCCATGGGTGAATGAGGCAGTGCTGGGGAAGGAAGTCGCTGAGGCATTAATAAAGGAGAGGAAATTTTATCTGGGCTCATTAACCCTGAGAGTGCTGCAGTGGAGCCTGGGAGGCTGGGATACAAGATGGGCACAGAGGACGGATACCAACACTTCTCCAGCATAGGCAGGTAAGCTGTTGCAGAAGGCGGAATCAAGTAGAAAGGCAGGCACAGAGGAGGCTGGTGAGGGTGAGGTCCCAAGAAGCTGACTGAAGAGGAGCCAAGCATGTCACTGCTAAAATGGTCTTCATCCTCTGACATTTCGATCCTGGGCCTTTTGGCCGGTGGGTCCTCATTCTCCTGTTTGATAGAGCTGATTCGCTCTTGGACAGTATACTTGAGCTCAGTGTCCTTCTTAAAATACTGTGGGTCAGATTTGGAGTCACTCTTTTCCAGTTCTCCCCCATATCCGCTGTCTGTGTCCGTATCACTCCCACTTTGCTCCCCACTGGAGTGAGCAAAAGTTCTCTGAATTACGGGCACACAATTTTTCCCGTGTGCCTCAGCAGCTTTGGTCAGAGAGCTGGACTTTTCCTTCAAGTCCATAAGTTTCGGGGCAGCATCTCCAGGTTTCCTGCTGGTTCCACTCTGCAGGACCTCAGAGGCCATTCTGTGCAGGTGGCTGATGAGCTGGGAAGATTTCAGCTCCTTAGCGCTTTCATGTTTGGCCACGTACTGCAGCACTTCTTTGGCACACATCTGGAAACCAGACCGAAACACCTCCTGGCTAGAATCAAGACTCCTTGTGGGCAGCTCATCTGAGGAAAGATCAGCAGGAGTTACAAGCTTAATTTATTAGCAAAGTTCAACCAAAAGGCAAGCCCACAATTATAAATAATCATACATCTCGAGCAGCACAATCCTGTGTATGCTTACTCAGAAGGAGTAAGTCCTGCTTGCAGTCTTGTGTCTTACTCCCAGAAAAATGTGCAGAGGGATGCAACTTAAAATTTTGTTTAAAAAAAAATGCTTTGGGACCAATATTTGAGGAAGAACTATTATTTTGGTTGGGTAACTCTTCGAGCCTGTGAAGGTAAAATTCAGGTTTTACAAATGTCGACAAGAAAACTTCTACTGTACTGAAATACTCCTCTAGTTTAACAGAAGCCTTTAAAACCAAACAAACACAAAATGAAGTTCTTATCATGCAGGACTCTGGTGCAGCTATGGAATGAAAACAGTCCTTTTCTAAGGTCCCATTCTAGGATTTGATGAAGTGCGTTGACTCCAGTGAAACTGAGAGCAAGTGCCTTTGAAATCAACTTCTCTGCAAAACAAATCTGCTCTACTAAGATTTGCATCCTGTTTGCCCCCTTGGAGCACTCTGTGCTATGGCTACGATGTCTAGAACAGTTCACAGTGTTGCCTGCCTATCTCCGAGGCTCTGCTTTGCTTCAGTATTCCTGGGGGCGACGTGCAGTGGCATAAAGAGATGTCCACGTAGTAGAGGTAGACTGTAACCGGGGACCCTAACAGTGATCATTCACACAATCAGCACTGACCACGACAGGAGACCCTCGTCATGCAGAAGTCACTGCCCAGAGATCCCACCCTCTGCAAAGTCACTCCATGCGACAAATGTACCCTGATGCACTGGCCGTAACTAGAATTGCTTATCGCGTGAATCACCACTATTATGTGAACGCCTCTTTACAGAGTTGCCACTTGCCACATCACTTTCTAAGCTAGAGGGATGGGACCAGTACTTGAGGGCAGAAGACAGCACTTGTCCAAGAAGCAGCAATCGCCAGGTAAGGGGCAGCGAAACTGCAGAAGATGCAGCAGCCAAAAGGAGTATTCTTAAAAGCAAGTTCTCTGCAGAGCTTTGCAGCAGGAGGGAGGAAAGTGTGTCTCGATCATTAAGAGCCCAGACGCTATTCCAGGCTTCTGGGCTGCTGGAACACCATGTTGGGAAAAGGCGCCCCTGCCAGAAGCCCTCCTCTTGACCTGAAGGTGATACAGGAGTTGGCAGCCCAGCTTTTAAAAACCTGATCAAGTTTCAAATAAAGAGCTAGTTTTGAATGAAAGGGACAGAGGATCAAAACGAAAGGGCATGGGCCAAGTTTTATATACCCTCCTCCTCCAAAAATGGTGTGAGAAGACTCAAAGATCTTGTGTCCTGAAGCAGTTCCACCCAAATCAACAGGACGACTCCAATGAATGTACAATGACAGAATGAGAATTTGGAAGTTGTTACTGGTTTGAAGAAAAGTGCCAGAAATGAGCAGTTGCTGGAGTTGTCGGGATTTTCTCCAACAATCAGGTTAACAGCATGACTGTGGTACTCACCAGCGTGTAAACCTTTCTGGAGAGCTATGATCTGCTGCTGCTGCTGCTCAATGAGGCTGGTTAGTGCTTTGACGTGCTTCAAGGTAAGTTCAAGAACCACAGCCTTTTCCAAGTGTCCTAATGTCTGAGGAGGAGTAAATGGTTGAGTTAGTCTCCACAGAAGGAACCGGAACCACAAGACTGACAATTGCCTAGACACGCTGCGGGGAAATGGGTGACAGAATCAACATGGATGAGAGCAAAGCTAACGATCATCCAGTGAAACCAATTTTTATTTCAACTGATATTACGCTCCAACAAACAAAAGTAAAAAACACACAGAGAGAGCAGCTGAAAAGGAAGGTGGCATGGAACATTTTAGCTCTGTTCTATTGATATTTTCAGCAAAAAGATAAGGTCTCAGTGTGTGTGAACATCTGCTTAACCTTGTTTTGTACATCTATGTAGCTATCCCTGATAACAGCTTGATCTTAAAACACAAGATTCCAGCAGAAGCTTTTCTTTAACCATGAGAAACAGGGGAACTCCTGGAGCTGAAGTGAGCAGGCAAAACTGATTTCCCAAACAAAATTTGAATTATTTTGGATGCTGCCCCTCACTTTTAAAACCCAGCTCCTGTATGACTATATTGCAGTGCTCACTGTCTTATAATGCATGAAGTACAGGTTGCACAGAGCTGCTTTCTACACTGATAGGAGCTTTTTGATAACTTAAAATCGTACCACAGATTCTGAAGAAACCCCATCACAGTATCGGAGGGGCACCAAACTAAAATCTAACTAGGCACACCAAAATAAATCTTCCTTTCATCCAGCTGCTTTTACGGTATCATCTACTCCAATCCAAAGATGAAAGTTCTTGAGAAATGTATCCCCTTGGCAATAAACTCAGCTACTGGCTCATATCCCCAGATGCAGTCCCCTCCAGTTTGAGCAGCAGTGCTCTAGAAAACCGCTAGGTGGCACCTTTACCTGCACCAAAAACCATTAAACCCAATACATTCCCCCCAAAGGAAGAACAGTTTGGACAGTGGCCAGATTTACACTTACTGTAAGTTTGAGATGTTCTGGTAAAAGATCTTTCAACTGGGCAATGCATTCATTAATCCTATCACGTCTTTTCTTCTCAATCAGCCTGTGGGGCAACTTATAGGTCTCCTGGAAGTCAAAAGGGGTGGGGGGGGGGGAACAATTGCATCACTCTGAATGAAAAGCAATTTCTAAGGGACTCTAAATTTAAAATACACACACAAGTATGCAGGCTAGAAGGGAACACAATCGAAATGTTTTCTCAAGTCAGTAGCAAAATTCTTGAAACTAAGCATATTATATGTATGCAAGCAGCTGCACTGTTTGGTTTAGATACTTAGGCTGGGACAAAATAAATTACTAATATGATACCTAAAATAATAATAAAAAAATCTTCTACAAACTTCTCCCTCCCCCAAAAAGTATCTATTCTCCAAATACAAATTATTAAGAGGAAAAACACTTCAAGAAGATCCCCAAATTACTTCATCCGTATTTCACAAAATTACTTCTTTATATTAGAATCTCAGGTGCGCCTTAAATTATCCTAAACGGGGCCCAAAGTATTCAGCCAAGGTGCAAAGAAAGATACAAGAATGCCTCATATTTACCTTACTATCATCGCCTCTTTTTAGCCCTCTTCTGGGCTTGTAAACTTGATACATGTGAGCAAAGTCCAACCTGTTGATTTTTTAAAAAGAAAGAAAAATAGGATGCAAGGTATTATTTAGGATCACCTAATTAGATCACAACCTTTCCCCCCGTCCCTGGAGTCCGGCAGACCGAAGATGCCACCCCAGAGAAGATTCTGTGCACCTTCTCCAGACCCAGGCTTGGCCGGAGCAGAGGCTGGAAAGATGTCGCGAAAGCCGGCGCAAAACCTGCCCGGGCATCCTGCGGGCGCGACCGCTTACCCGGGCATTTCGGGGCTCTCCAGCGCAGCCAGCTTGCCCAGGCAAGGCGGCGGAGGCTGAGCACTGGGGATCCTCTCCATGGAGCAGGGGCTTCCTCCTCGCGCTCTCCTGGCCCGAGCCGAGGTCTTTCCCGAGGCGAGGCGAGGCGAGGCGAGGCGAGGCTGGCTGGCTGGCTGGGACACCCCTCCCTCTCGATGCGAAGGGAGTCGGGATCTCCTCCCCTCCCCCGCCCTGGAGCTGGAGCCCGGCGCGTCGCTGGTCCAGAAGGAGAAAGGCGAGGAGGAGGAGGAAGAGGAGGAGAGGCGCTTGGGAGGGCGACGGTCCCCCGAGCGCTCGGGAGAGTCAGGCAGCAGTCGGTTAGCGGCGGCGGCGGCTGCTCATGTCCTTCTGCGCTGCAGCACCGGCAGCTGGCTGTCAAAGGGGCGAGCCGGAGCTGAGGAGTAATTGGAAGGCTGCAGGCTGGGTTAAATGTGAGCGAGTGGGTGGACTGGAGCGACGTGTTCTACCCTGTGACTCCAGGCACGTCTGGCTGCTACCGGAGGGAGGGAGGGAGGGAGGGGAGGGACCGACCGACCGACCGACCTGCTCCCCCCCGCCTTCCCTCCCATCACATGAGCCTCACGTGTTGGACAACGCTCCAGCCTCTTTCCCCACCCTCGCCGCGGCTGGCCACGCACGGAAGCAGGCGAAGCAGCCGCGGCGCGGCCGCCGCTGTCAAAACGTGATGGGACGATCCGGCCCGCCCGCCCGCTCGGCCGGCCCCGGCCCCGGCCCCCTCCGGCCTGGCGCCTCTCCTGCGTGCGTGCAAGCCGGCGCGCAGGGAGGAGGCAGGCGGCGGGGAAGCCAGGCTCGGCGTTCACGTGGGGCGCGGAGCGGCTTGGCGCCCTTCCCGCCGAGCGACGCGCTGCACGGGCTCGAGCCCGGTGTGCGAGCAGGCGGCCCTCTGCCCTGGAGCCTAGCCACTCCTCAGTCCCGAGCGCTGCCGGAGGCGCCTGGCCGAAGACACTTTGGACATGCTCGAAGGCACTTGCCCGTGCTTCACGAGGCCTGCTCCCTCCCCCCTCCCCTCCCCGCGCACACGGCTGAGCGGCGTCTGCCGCCTCAGCCCTATCGGAGAGCGAGCCCTGGTGAGCCCCGGCAGAGATCGCGAAGCCCTGTCCCGGCTCTCCGCTTTCTTCCTCGCTCTACTTAGGGCCGCAAAGTGAAACTCCCGCAAGTAAGAAACACCCGAGCTCTGAGAAAAGCAGCGTTTCGGTTCTTTGGAAAAGAACTGGCTAGGCAGTTGCGCCCTTTCATATGGAAACTCTGCCGCCCTGCTCCCCACCCCCCGCCATCTCAAACATGTGTGAAGGGCACGCCGCGCTCTGCCCAGGCTCAAGATTGCTTCATCTGTCCCAGGGCTGAGTCTTGGCTTGGCGTGGCAAGAATTTTCCAGGGTTGTGGTGTGACTCAGATCTTGAGAAAAAGGTACTCCCGTTGTTTTCTGTGAGCCTGTGTGGTCTCCAAGACGATGTGTGACCCACCCAGGGTGCACGCACATAACAGTATGTGTAAGTTAGGAAAAACTTCGTTAGGGGAAAATAGCAGTATCAGAAGGACACACTGGGAAAATAGAGGGAAAGTTAAGCATTCTTTCCCAGTGCCACAGTTCTGATCTGAATTCGAGTACTCCACATTTCACAAAAATTTAAACAGACAGGAGTTCAGAGGATGCATCTAGTTTGGCCCTGAATGGCCAAGTTAGAGCAGCCCTTGAACTGTCCATTTTGTTTAATGGTTTCTAGAACATTGACCTGTTAAAGATTTTGATAAAGGCAATAAAATGTTCCATCTCATTGGTAAAATGGGAGAAAAATAATCTTTGGCATATGTTCCCCTGCTCCACCACACATAATTAAGCAATATAGGAGTCTGCTTATAGGATTCCAGGATGGCACTTTCTTTTGGTTGGCCACTGTGGAGAATTGCTTTCTCTCTGCAGAGTTCCTTCTTCACAGAGTTAGGTGTTACTTTCAATTTAGAAGAAACATCTCACCATGCTTCTGAGCATTCCAAGGGATCATATATTTTGATGATGGTTCAGCTAGTTTTATAAAGGTGAGCCACTTCTGCCCTTTCAGGAAAGAGCACATTACTCCCTGCTCAAAGAGGAATGTATTGCACTGATAGTGCACTCCTATAACATGTCTAACTCAACATTAAGAAAACTAAGATCATGGCATCCAGTCCTCTCACTTCCTGGGAAACAGGTGGGGAAGAAATGGAGGTAGTGACAGATTTTATTTTCCTGGGCTCCAAGATCACCGCAGACAGGGACTGCAGCCAAGAAATTAAAAGATGCCTGCTCCTGGGGAGGAAAGCGATGGCAAATCTAGACAGCATAGTAAAAAACAGAGACATCACCTTGCCAACAAAAGTGCGTATAGTCAAGGCTATGGTTTTCCCAGTTGCAATGTATGGCTGCGAGAGTTGGACCATAAGGAAGGCTGAGCGCCGAAGAATTGAGGCCTTTGAATTGTGGTGCTGGAGGAGACTCCTGCGAGTCCCTTGGACTGCAAGGTGATCAAACCGGTCAGTCCTAGAGGAGATCAACCCTGACTGCTCTTTAGAAGGCCAGTTCCTGAAGATGAAACTCAAATACTTTGGCCTCCTAATGAGAAGGAAGGACTCCCTGGAGAAGAGCCTAATGCTGGGAACAATAGATGGCAAAAGAAGAAGGAGATGGCAGAGAATGAGGTGGCTGGATGGAGTCACTGAAGCAGTCAGTGTGAGCTGAAGTGGACTCCATGGGATGGTGGAGGACAGGAAGACCTGGAGAAATGTTGTCCATGGGGTTGCGGTGGGTCGGACACAACTTCGCAACTAACAACAACAACAGCAGCAGCAGCAGCAACACACATCTGCTCAGAAGCATGCCCCGTTAAATTCATTGGGATTTACTCTCACATAAATAAGTACAGGATTGCAACTTTGCTTACTGTATTTATAGACCATCTTTCAGCCATAATGGTTCCCAAGCGGTTTACACTAAATCTAGTTATAAAGCAGTTCATAATTAAGTCAATTGCACTTCACATCTGACAAAAATAATTTAATGGCCCTTCTAAGCTAAGAGGGGAAAACCACTGCAAATGAGCTAAGCACAGCAGTTATGCCATAAAAACGAACCTGGGAGCAGAATGAAAGGTAATTTCTCTAAGAGAAAAAAAATGCACAAATGCATTTTTTAATGTTGCTCAGACAGAAGCCTATTAACAGTTCCTTGTTAAGTGCTCCTGTCCTGGACCTGCTGCTGACCACCCACCACAATAGTCTGGGAATAAGAATTTATTTAATTTAAAATGCTAAAATATTTTCATGTTGCCTTTAGGGTAAGCCCTCCCACACGCAGGCAGTGGCTTATTAAAAAGCACAACCTTAAAATGCCATAATTTCAATAAAATAATACATTATAATCCAACATCAGGCCAATATCATACTGTAAGGAACCAAGAATAATGCTCTGAAACAATGTCAAGCAGCAACAAGCCTCAGAAACTTAAGTTTGGACTTCCATATGGGGTGAACTGAGTAACAGCAATAGAAGCAGGAGAGGCATCTGCATCAGGACCACACTGAGAACAAAAGAATTCCCTCTCCTCACTCCCAGGGTCCCAGTTCTAATCCCGCCCCCCACAAGTGCTACTTAACAAACAAAAACAACATGCAATTGCTAATTATGGGTTTAAAGTTGCTTGGCCCTATTTTATTTAGTGCCTGTTTGTTATCGATATGTATGTGTCACCCAGTAACAACTTTCTTTGTCAAGCTGCTTACATATGTTTGGATATCCACAGCATTCTAAGTGAAGAGCACATAAACAAAAAATGGTAAGGCTTGGCAATGCCACTGTCTAGCTGTAGTTCTGTGAGTAAGGATTTTTTAGTGTAAAAATACAGGGGGGCGGGGGAGGGTCTCCTGTCAAGAAATGAAGATGATAATATGGATACTACTCAGTGGAGTGCTGTTTGCATTATTTAACGTGTGTGTGTGTGTGTGTGTGTGTGTGTGTGTGTGTGTGTGTGTGTGTGTTAAGTAGAGGATTATTACAGTCTGGGTGAGCAACAAGCCAAGTTCAAAGATTTAGCTGCACCTGACTTGTGACGCATGTTTAACTTATTATTCATACTGAACAGAGTAATACTGGGTGGAGGCAAAGGCTGTCATAAAAGGGCAGGGTAAAAAAGCCTCCTTCTCGGCATGTTTCCTTTGAAAACTCCTACAAGCAGCAAGCCCAGGAAATGGCTGGGACCCACTAACTGGCAAGCTCTTCACCACCCACTGAAAGAGGCTGGGTGGCAGCAGAGAAGTTGGCAGCGAACCAGCAGGAACAGAGGCGGGACAGCTGCATCTGTTCTCTGTCTGTCTGGCTCCCGTTAAACGAGAAAGGAGAGGAGTGTGCGCTCTGCCTTAAACTGCTAGCTGAGAGCTTCAAAATGCCCGGCCTCGAGCTTAATGCACCAGTGGTCCTTGCATTGGGTGTAATCAGCTGTGCGGAGGCAAGGATAGCTCTTTAACAAAAATCCAAGGGACCCTTGGTGCATCAGACCTGACATCAGGTAGCAGTCGTCCCGGGACAGGCGAGTGGGGTGGGAGTGACCTCATCCGCCTGGCCCAGCAGGGACGAATGATGGGAAGGGGAGTGTGGCCACACCCTGGATGCCCCCAGTGCTTCCTGGCACCGCTTGGTCCCCAGCAGGTGTGCCAGCACGTCCCCTCCGGAGAACCTGCTTTGCCTGCCTTCTCTCTCTGGGAAGAGGATGCGGGAAGGAAAAGCTGCTCGTCTGGTTTTGCTCCTCTTCCGCAGGGGAGGTTTACTCCTCCTTGTGCGTGGTAGCCTCGATCCAGAGTGGGACTCCACTCTAAGACACAGAAACAAAGAAAAGCTGTGCTGGATTCGACCAAAGGTGCTCCTCCTAGCCCAGCATTCTGTACATGTGGTGGCAACCGGTGGTGCCCAGGACTGCTCCAGCAGGAGGGCTGCAAGACCTTTGCCTGTCCAAGCTCCTCATCAGCTGGCATCTGCAGATGTGCTGCCTCTGATGATGGAGGCAGAAGGAGGCTGGCAATGTTAGTAGCCACAGATAGTCTCTACTTCCATGAATGTGTCCAATCCCTTTTAGAAGCCTTCTAGATTTGTGGCCATCACTTCTACGGCAGTGCACTCAATAATTTATACCTTCTGTGTGGAAGTACGTTCTTTTGTCTGTCCTAAACCTTCCTCCAGGCAGCTTCATAAGATCACCTATGAATAGGATCAGGATTGAGTGTTGTGAGAAAGAGGCAAAAATGTGTCCCTCTCCATTTTCTCCACTCGGTGCATAATTTTAAACGTTTCTATTGTGTCTTCCCTTACTCAGCCTTTTTTCTATAAGCAAAACACTCCCAGTTTTGCAGCCACTCCTCATACAGGAGATGCTGCAGCCCCTTGATCATTTTCGCTGCC